TCATCCCTTCTTCACACATTAAGCTTCACTACTTTATGCAAGCTAAGTATTTGGCCTTCTGTGTATTTCCGTGTCTGCAAACAGAAAATCTTTCGTAATAAGTCTCTTCTGTATGCTACGAAATTCTGGAGGATCTCCCAGCTCATTGCAATTGTGCGTATTTTAGATCAGAGAGGTGATGGCTTATACTTGGAGGCTCTGAAGAGAGTGTTGCATGTTATGCTAGTGACACAGCTTTGGCTATGGGCCCTGATCCAAAGCCAGTTGCAATCAACTAGTCAAAGGTCGTGTCTACACAGCATAAAGAAATTGTAATTGCAGCTTGTCCTAGAATTACCCTTGGTAGTTTAAGCCAGCTAGTATGCGAAATAATAACACAAGCAAATGTATAGTTGAAAACTACCAAAATACAAAAATCTCTAATGTAGGTGGATAGTGCCTCCTGAAGCCCACCTCCATACATATGCAGAAAATGACCAAGTCCATGTCATGTTTGTAGCCAACACTGGGCCACCTCTGCACCCTGATGCTGCAATTCCCTATATGGCAGCCATGGTTGGAGGGGCAGCAGGACTCTTCCCTGCCCCAGCTCCTGCTGCAGTCCCCCATGAGTCACACAAGGCCATGAGTGCCAGAACAGGTGTCCCAACTGCCCCTTGTCTCCAGACCAGAATAAACCTGTCCACATACCAGCCAAAAAAGGCCAGCTGCTGGAAAGTGATGATGGCAACACAGTGCCAGCTGCCATTAAAGGGGAGAAGAGTCTCATCTTCATAGCCTGTGGAAGGGCAAACTTTGAGAACATGAATGAATTTTCGTAAGAGACAGGAGGTACTTTTAAAAATTAAAATATATGTTAGTCATACAAATGTATATAACTAATACATTTAGATGTCTCTACAAGTATTTTACAGTATTTGTATGATTTCTTTAAGCTACCCTCCATATTTTAGGATCTGGACTATGATTTCAAAGCATATACCCTTTTTTTAAGAACACAGGCTCTCTTCTTGCAATAGTGAGAAGCAGAAAGGAAAAGTTGGTGAACTGGACTTCTCCTGTTCCATTATCCAGACTTTTTGTGTTACCTATCATATCTCTAGGAAGTTACTGTTGAGAGCTTATTTTGCTGTTATTTTTTAATACAATAACAGTGGCCATTATACAAAAGCAAGGAGATCTCATACTACTCTTAAAAAAACACAGAAACGATCATACATTTCCGCAGCACGTGCCTTAGAAGTGGTGTGGCTTGCCATAAGCAGTCACTGATTGTTTTAGCTCAGTATCTATGAATGCTGTTGGGCCAACCTGAAACTGGGGGAGAAGGGAATGGGGAAATTGGTGAGCGGGGAAACAAAGAGGCAGAAGAAAAGAAAGGAGAAAGAAGCATTACATTGCTGACCTTTCTTGAAGGCAGACTTCCAGCAGATCACTTTGACCTGTCTGCTGTCTACCTGTCAAAGTGATTATTTGTTGTTTTGCAGTGCCTAGAACAGTTGCAGGGTAAGGGTTTATTTACTGTTTTGCATCATATTGAAATCATTTACTTTTACAATTGTGGACAGCTGGAAAAGGAGTTAGGGAATAAGATAGGAGAAAAAAATTAAAAGCGCTGGAGAGAAGATGAAGGACTTTAAGACAGGGCACCAACCGTTTTTAATGCTTGAGATCACATAACAATCCCTTATTGAACACCAAAGACTACCATATCCATAGCTGGAAAGTAAAAACTCTTTTAGTCAAATGTCTATGTACCAGTAGAAGAGTAATAAACATGAGCAGATATGTTTATCTTTCACCCATACTTTAATGAGAATTAAAAACTTAGAGAAAGGAGTTACTATCATCTGTCCCTGATTTAAGACATTGAAGCCTAAATCAAATGATTTAGTAAACATCTGAATAGGTCATTTAAAATGCTCTGGTCTCTGCTTTTAGCCATGTTGTTTGTTCAGTCCCATATAAACTCTCGCAAAGCAAAAACATAATACCCTGCCTGATTTTTAAAATGAACAAGACTTCTTTTGCAAAATCTCTTCTCTACTACCCAGAATTGTTGGTGTTTTTTAAAGCTGATGTGGGTTTTGGGGTTTTGGGTTGTTTTTTTTTTTCCTTATGAATTTACTACTATTGGTTTTTATCTGTTGCACTGATTTTGACAGAAGAACGTTTTAAGACCAATAATATAATGTTTAGGAATAATAAACCTACTGCCCCATGTTGGCAGTGCTATTCTTACAAAGCCAAGAATTCTGTCTGTGAGAATAACCAAAAAACAACACCTAAGAAATTTTCTTTAGAAAGCAACAAGCATAAGTAATATTTTCTTAGTGTTTCCACCAGCGGCATTGGGTCTTTTTTGATCCAAATAGGATAGCTCTGTATTGGCCTTAATGACTATTTGCTTACGAAGATTTCCAATTAGTCATGTAAATTTTTCAATAGCAGGAGTGTTATGTGCTTGAGGACACATTCAGTGCAGAGGATTCTTCTTTTGTTTTGAAACTGCTACTTGCACTTTCATTTGATTTGCCCAGTATTCTTATTAAAACACAAAACAAGCAATTGTTTCCACTTCCTACCTAGTCTTTCCATAATTAAAAAATAATCAGACCAGTTTCTGGGTTTATTCTTTGTAAGAAAAACAAGTTTCCCTGATAATATACTTACAAGTATTTTGCCAAGAGAACTCTTCTCACAAGTTCCTATGCAAATATAGGTATACCTAGGATATGTGCTTATATTTGAACTCCTGTCTGTAATGCTCGTTTAATTTAATCAGAATTACATGCTCACTAGGATCCAGCATCAGAAAGTGCAATATTAACTTACAGTGCCAAATTAATCTTTCAAGATTTTTTTCTAACTGTTCATTCATATTTAGGTTGATTTTCCTTTCCCTCTACCCAGAAGAAAGGACTTTGCAGCTCATGTGCATGCAGTGCTGCTTGTCAGCCGTCCCCGCCTTCTAGCTCCTGACACGTTCCAATTTCTGGTCAGGCCCTTCAAAACAAATCACAAAAGTCTGCGCAAATATTTCATTTACTTTATTCACAGAGCAGGTATGTGAGAACACTAAAGCTCTGTGCCCTTATTGATTGGGTTTTAGTGAAATCAGAGTAAAAATTCATGTACCAGATGATTTTCAGACAGCCGCTACCACAGAGCATTTCACTGATGGATGTCACCAAACAGGAGGTCACACCACAGCATATGCACTCGATTGTGCTGTGGAGTGACTTCATTTGTATGCAGCAAGGACGGTGAAGCATGGAACTGCCTCTGAAGTGTAGAGTCAATCCTGCAAACATTTATGACACTGCAGGCTAGTCTGGAGAGTTTTACCTTGCCCTTGTCCATATAAAATGTTTTGTCAATCAAGATTATCTGGCCAGAGCTTTCCTGGAGTCTCAGCACTACCAGTTCATCGATCAAAGGGGTGGAGGGACATCAGGGAGAGTCTTTATAGCATGTCTTATGGCATTTTTCAGAAAAAGCCACTGAACCAGAACTTGGGGTTTCAGACCTCAGTTTTCAGGGATTGCTTTGGATAAACAAGAATCTTTTAGCCTTTCCATGTATTGCCATAGCTTAAGAACAGAATGTAGATCTTGTCTCTCTGTTATGTGGAGTAAAGTCATCTCTTTAACACTGTCTTGTGTCCAAAGAAACTTGATCTCAACATTATTTTGTAACATGTTGAATAATGAACATGTAATCAAAATCTTACCAAATATTTGTCTGAAAAAATTACATGAGGGTAGAAGAGCTAGATTCATATCTGTACTGAACTTTGGTATAGGAGAAATCTGAGCCTAGGTTTTCCACATCCCAGACCTTATTCCTACTCCATTTTGTGGAGCACCGTTACTTATTCTCTTTCTTCAATTTAAGCAGGGCTGCTTAAGTCCCTGTGAATCAGATTTTTTGTTTTCAGATTCTTCTCATTCTATTTTTTAAAATCGCAGAAAATAATCACAGTAAAAAACAATTCAGATAAAAGGAAACATTTTTATTTAACCCCAAGCAATTTTTATTTCAATTGTGGATCATTCTGGAAGGAAAAAAAAAAAAAAAGAAAGAAAAGAAAGAAAGAAAAATATTAGGCTCAGATGGACATCAAATTACTTGGGGATTTTTAAGAAATGTCAGTGGGATATCAGAAAAATCAATTATTTCCACAGGTCTTTTCTTAGCTCTTTATTCATACAGCCTGCATGTCTCCCATTCCTTTCTCTGTCTTTCTCCTTTTTTTTTCTGTTCTTTTACCTGTTCTTCTTCTCTCAAGATCATTTTTAAGAGTCATCTCAGGTTTATATTTTCAGGCGTACTGCTTGTTATCTTACAGTCTGCAAGCAAATAAAAATCTTCTGTATCTTCTCTATCCCAAGGAGGTCAAATGCTACAAAACTGAAGCCACAGCAGGCTTATCTTAAATATAGTTTCAATGACAAGGGTGGGTTACTTATATGTGTCTTCATATGTTGTTTTCCTGAGAATTTAAAGTAAAAATTCATTAAGTTTTACTGAATCTTGGTCACCTCAAAAAAAAAAGAAAATCTAATTAAATAAATTCAGATTTTTAACTTTGTTTTTTGTAAACCAGCAGTAATTGTTTTTACTGTGCAGTGATATAACCAACCATACCAAGTGCTATGCTGAAACTGAGCTAAGTGATGAAAACATTTAACAGCATACTTAGAGAAATACAGAAGAATAATGAAAATTGTGAAAAATCATAAGTAGACATCATGCGTGTGTATACGTGTATCTCTTTCTTAAGATGCATGCTAATTCACAGGTTTAAATTAGTACAGATCTAGCAGAAATGAGGTGAAAATCAGCCCCACATTTTATAAGTGACTCCTTATGCGGTGACAGCAGTGATGTTTTGCCAAGTATGTAAATGTGCTCAGGTGTCCATAAAGTCGAAAGGGTTACTCCTGGGTGAAGCCCGCTCTAGCACAGCCTGGGGTGTGCAGGCCAGAGATATCCCAATGCAGGAGCTGTATGTGGATGTGCGGGTATGGGTTGCAGCATACAGAGACAACAAATTTGGCTGGAGAGAAGCCACAACAGCAAAAGGCACATGCTTATGTGAAGACTCTGACAGAAAAATAGCTGGTAAAGGAGGAAAATGTGCTTAAGGACAAGTGGCTTTCAAGAGAGGAATCAGCAGTGGCAGGGAGACGGACATGCCCGAGATTAAGTTTTACTAATGACTCAAAGCCACACTTTGACTAGTTTACCTCCACAACAGCTCTAGCTTCACAAGTTAAGCTGAAGCATACATTCATAACTTCCATTTTCTATGTATGAGTTTTGTAGGCACACAGTTACACTAAATCTGGGCATTTGGATGTCTGCCTGCCCAGGACTGTGTGTTTATTTCTCGTTTGGGAATAGAAGCACTGGGTTTGCTCATGGAAAGTAGTGAATGAACTCCTCTGCAGGTGCAATCTTAATGTATTCTTAAACTGCTGGCCTCTTTGCCTTTTCAAGTTGAGTTTTATAGTGCTGTTTTGGGCTTGTGTTGTGTTGGTTTTGTTGAGTTTTTTTACAAAAGTAGTCCAAAATGTTCCTTAAAAGAGATTTCTTTAACCTCCCAGAATCTTTTTAACTGGCTTTGCCCAATGCTTAACAATAGCAGGGAGATGGAAGAGCAGGGAAAAAAGGTACACAAGGATCATTTGACCATTGGCATATGATGCCAAACACCAATGTCTATATTCTTTGTTCTTTCTAGTAATGTAACTTTCCAATCATGTAAAGTACAGCATGCCAGGAAACTTGTAACAGTTAATTCATTTCTGGCAGTTCCCAACTGCCAGAAGTCAAGGGAGCAAAAGAGAACATAGTGTAAGCCACAGTTCACATGGCTATGCTACAGACCACGAAGACTGTTGATTGATGCAGTGTGAGTTTACCCTCCAGGATACAGCTGAGGTTATTGGTGGGACAAGGAACTGAAGATTGTGTTGCAGCTATTGGCTCCATTCATGAATTGTTAATGTAGAGGAATAAAAGAATTCACTCAAGGCAATCAATTTCCCTTTAAAAATACAACAATTCACCCCAAAAGAGTGAAAGAAGGCTTAAGTGATAAATTGCAGGAATATTGCTTTCACATTTGACACCCATTAGCCCTGTTTTATATTGGGAAAATAGTATCATTAAGCAAAGTAGACAGTGCTTTACAACTATTAGCTTATGAAAAGATTCAGCTACTACATAAAGATAACTGTTATTAAATAGGAGCATTTTGCAAAGCCTTTAAAGGATAAGAAGCAAGAAAAGTTGTCTTTAGTAGTATAAGTCTTTTTCTACATGCTTTCACAAAAAAAAAAGCACGTCTCACATCTTTAAGACAGAACAATCGGAGCTATTTGAGTTGAGAGGCACTTAATGGGAAGCTAGTTTCCCTTAGCAATAAATGCATATGCCTGTATAAGCTAAAGGAAGTTGCTGTCCTCCTCTGAAAGCACAGAAGTGAAGTAATTACTGTGCGCTGAATTCCCCTGGTGAAATGGTAGTGACTATTGTTTTGCCCCAGGAGGAGCCGTTGAGCAGATATAGGGTGGTCAGTATCCAGTTCTCCAGGGTTAAGGGCCAGGCTAAATAGTGCCTCCTTCATCTTCACCAGCCTTTCCAGACAAGCTGAAACAACTTTCACCAGCAACTTTCTTCCTATAGTCCTTTTCCAGCACAGATCATAAACACTCACTCAGTCTTATAATACACTATCTTGTAAGCTGTTAAACAAATAATATGTGACCGAGTTTCAAAACTCCTGCCAAACAAACCTTCCTCCTAATGTCCAGAAACTGCTGTCCTTTCTATCTCTGTGTCTACTTTAAGGCAGATAAAGCCAACTTCTCACCATGCTTTATCCATCTGTAACATGTCTTCCGAGCACATTACACCCCAAATGCCCCTTAGAGAAGGAAGAGTATAAGGCTGATAGAGAGGGGCAGTTCATTTTCTAACCTATGCCCTCTTCATTCTGAACCGCAAGCATATATGTCTGTTGAAACCATTAGCTTTCATCCCAAGTGCCCAGTTATGTCCTAAAGCAAGACTCAGCAGTATTGCAGATGCAGGGATTTGTGAAAGGAAAGAATGATAGAAGTAGGATGGTGAGGACTACATAAAACATCAAACCACAACACACAGGAGCAAGAGAATTCAGAAGAAGGTTTAGGTTTTTGGACTGAGTGCTGGCTAGAAAAAAAAAAAAAAATTTAGAGCTCTCGTCCTTGCTGTTTCTTATGCTTTCTGAACTGTGGACACGTGAATATATAATCAGGTATTTTCCCCTTAATCTTTACCCCCATATTTGTTTTTTTTTTTTGAGGTGAAAACATTTTCTAGTTCCATAAGAACTTTCAATTCTAGCTGGCGCCAAACTCTGAGGTAGAAATCACTTAGGATAAGCACTGATCCTTAATGACACAAAGCAAAAAATACTTAGAAAGACTTTGTTACTAGCTTGTAAACATAGGGGCAAGGAAATGCCTTTCAACCAGCATGTGTTTGCCTTTATTTTGCCAGGACCCTGTCTTAGAGTTAGTTCAACCATCACTTGTCCAAGTATCTTCTTCCTTAGTCTCAACAGTTGTCTGCAGGAGCAACTGCTCTTCACCATCTGCTGACCAGACTATCTTCACCAACTCATTTTCTTCCATCAGTTACTCCTTCATTCTGTTTTCCCTCACCTCCATGATTCATTTTATTTTTTGCCAGCCTTCCTGATCTTCAGCAAACAAGAGCTGTCTGCCCCCAGCATCGCAACAAAGCTAAATGCAGAAGAAAATCTGAGATACGCTCCAGCAACCAGGGGAAGCTGGGAAGAGACAGCAATATTTGTTTTCATTATTGATCAGTATTTCTAATATAGGGTTACCTCAGCCTCTCAGTCAAGACAGATATTTCTTTGACGTAGATGCTGAGTCTTCACCTAGTGAGAGATTTTCTCTGCCTTAAAACTTTTATAGTCCAACAGGCATGACATACTATCCACATTTTGTATTAAGCATGATTTGCTCCAAGAGCAACATGGAACCATAAATTGAAAGTGGTTCTTCTCAGGCTGTATCCACTGCCTCAACCACAAAACCAAGTTCTGTGACTCCTGCAGGCTATTTAGCAATTGGAACTAGGAAATATTTCACAGTCTCTTTTTCTTAGTATCTGTAAATTGGGTCTTACTGAAGCCAAAAGGGTTGTTTCATTCTGGTGATGTTTGTAAGTTTGCTGTGTTTTGTCATGTTAGAATTCAAGCTTATATACCACTACAGCTTTTTGGTGCTAGATGAGAATTTTTCCTCAGTACTAAACTATTAAAAATATTTAAAAAATCAGGTCCAGAAGTAAGTACACTCTTACTTCAGCTGTACATCAGCAAGCAATTCCAGCATACTTTGCTTGCCTCCTTTTCAGAGCTACATCAGAAAAGTTAGTGCATAGCACATTATGACTACTGACAGGTATTTTCAAGCATGCCACTGTTTTGTAAGAAGCTTTGTACTTGACCTTCTTTGTAATCAGGAAAGGTGTTACTTGGACTTTCAGATGCCTGTCACATGCATATCTAAGTGATCCAAATTGTATCTCTGTATATTGCAATTATGCTTAATGTCACCGTTCTATCCCACATATTTCATTCTGGCCACTTATGAAGTGAATGAGCAGCACTTTTTCCCCAGCCAAGCATTCATACAGCTGTGCTGAAAATTCGATTTCATACCCATGTCATTTTCTCCTACAACTTGCCCAAGTTTTATTCAAGTTATCTACAGATCATTCTATTCTTCCCAGATCAACAGCATACATTATATTTGCAGTTGCCATTTGATTGGCAGCAAGCATACTATTAGGTGCTAAACAAATCTGAAAAAGTAGGTCACATAAATTTGCAGAGTGTAGTTTGCTGAATACCTGTGGAGATTTACGTATAGTACATTGTATGGATTTCTTCCGAGCAGCCTTTGCCCACTATGTGCATTAAGAATGATACGGTGGATGGGAATGTTCTTCTAGCAAAACACCGTTCATGCTTTCTATAGGACTATCCTGGAGCCAGAGCCAGTGCACCTTAAAACTTGAGCATGAGCTGAGGAGTATAAAAGCAAGAAAGTAACTTAAGGACCAAGAATATACTAAAGACTGCGGAAACAGATATCAAAAAGGTACAGAGAAAGAAGTTATTTCACACTTATAAAACTTTTTGCCTAATATAATTAAATGGAAGCCAGGAGTAACTCTCATCTCATCCTCTAAATACTTCCATAGTCCTCACAGCACATCAATGTGAGCAATATAGTGTCAAACTAAGTCCCAATCTAACACCACTGATGTAACTCCAAATTATCAGGTTAGATAGAGGCAACATTGTGCAAAAATCTATAGCCTGTGTTACTAAAGCCCCTAGTTTAGGTACCATAATGGTTTCTTTTGGCCTGTAAACCTTTGAAATGATCATTCTACTTTTTAAAGAAGACTCTTAAACATCTTAAGGTCATTGCATTGGGTTACAATTGCAGCTATAAAATGACCAGTAACAAACCAAACACATTTTTCTGAAACATGCTTCTTATGTTGCAGACACTGCTTCTCTCACTCATTATAGTGAGATCCCTTATTGCCCAGTATTGTACTAACTCCGTCTGGTCTATTGTACTGTTGTAACACTCCTTTGCCCATTGTATTAGGTTAGCACCTCCTTGGCTATAATAAGTATGAAAAAAAATTCAAGGCTTAACTTGTCAAATGGAACTTTTCAGTGACTTATTGAAAGAACCCCTGCAGTATTACAAAATGCAGGTTTTCTGTCATCTAACTAAAAGATCTCTTTAGAAACCTTCATTTTTTATGTGTGTAAAGACAATTTCTTCTAGTGAAACTCTTTGATTCTTCCCTGAATGAAAGCAAGTGTTTTAAAACTTTTTGAGGTGCCCCAAAGGCTCACTTCTATACTACGGAACGTGAAAGACTATGAACATCTCACATAATCGCCACATAGACACATTGCAGTGTGCTCCTGGCAGCAATCGTTCATTACATTTTGCAGGCTTTCATAAAAAAAAAAACCAAAAAAAAAAAAAAACCTGAATAAAACCAGGGAA